CTCTGGGAGGGCGGAATGCCGGGGGCGTCCAAGAAGAGGGTGATCACCAGGGGGTGGGGGCCATGAAGTCTCCCAGATTTCATTGCCCCCGCTTTGAGCACGTCCCCTGGCACCCACTCGTCGGCGCACGTGCCTCAGGCCACGATGCTGCGACCCACCCCCCTTCCTGGCCTCCCTCTCCTGGGCGCACCCGGGAATGGGCACCTACCCCGTGTGGCTCACCTGCGCCGAGTCCGCCGCCGAGCCGGGCACCTGCTTCTCTCGCGACGGGGTCAAGGGCGGGGGCATCTTTATGCCGCGCGAGACCCGGCAGGGCTTCGGGCGTGCGCACAGGCGGCCTCCCCGGAGGCACTTTGGCTGCCCTCCGCAGGTCCACGGGGCACCCGCATGCCGCGAAGGGCGCGAAGCAGCCGGGTCCCGAGGGAGGCGGGCCTTGCAGTGCGACAGCACCGGAGAGCCTCGAGCCGGCCCAGAGGCTTCTGATCCCAGCCCCGCCCCCCCAGTATACTCTCTGCTCTCGTCGTCGTCGTCGTCGTCGTCGTCGTCGTCGTCGTCACTGAGGCGTTTCTCCTCGTCCTCGGGCTCTCGGGGCCCTCGCCTGGGCCACGGGGCCGTCCACTGGTACGGCTCGGGAGGAAGCCGGCCATGCCCAGGCGGGGGCAGGGAGAGGGGGGAAGGCTTCTTAGGATCCCCCCTGCTTCTTCGAAGGCGCTGGCTTTGTCTGTAGATGCAGGGCGGGGCGCCTTTTAAGAAGCGGCCTCCTTCTAAGAAGTCTTCCCCCCTCCCCCTACGCCTCAGTGGCAGGTCCGCATGCGTCCCCCCGCCCATTTATGGCCCCATAGAGAGCTTCACGGAGGGCTCCAGTGGCAAGGTCCGCATGCGTCTCCCCGCCTATCTCGGCTCACCCCCACACGGCTCGTGGTCCCATAGGGAGCTTCACCTGCACCTGAGTCCCCATTGGCAGGGTCCGCATGCGTCCCCCCGCCCATTTCGGCACACCCCGCAAACGCTTCGTGGCCCCATAGGGGGCTCCACCGAATGCCCAAGTGCCAGCATTTTGGCTCAAGCGGTCGCATGCCGCGCCTCCGCCTCGGCCGTCCGCCCCGGGATGGCTGGCCTGCGCGCGGCTAGAGGGGCTTGCACGGCCGCCGAGGACCTCGCGCTGCTGGTGCGCGCGGCGGTCCGAGGTGCCGTGGACGCGGGGGCTCCTCGGCGCACTGTTGCTGCGGTGGCGCGCTCCGCGCTGTCGGCGGCTGCCTTCGCGGCAGGCGCCGCGGCGCGGCCTGCGCCTGCAGTGGCGGCTGCGCCTCGGGAGCCCAACGACACCAATAAGGAGCGACGCCGCAGGAGGCGGGCGAGGCTGGCGGCGCGGCGCGCTGCGGCTGGTGCTCTTCCTGAGGCGGTGGCCCCTGCCGCGGGCGCGGCGGGCGGGGCGGGCGCTCCTGGTCATGAAGTTCGGGGAGTTGCTCTTCGCGGAGGCGGTCCCGCTG